GAGGGTACGACTCCGAAGGCAAGACATGCTACATCTGCTACTACGACGCCGGGAACTGCGCTTATGCTGGTTTCATGAGGATGCTTTTGACTCCGGAAGAGCGCCAAGAATGCTACCGAGGGTCAGTCTTGCCCAAGGAAGAGCTCCTGGGTGATACATTGGAGCTGGCACTCGGGCTTCTTACGATTGCCATGAGACACCCAAGTCATTTTCCGAATTGGGGTGGCCTTGAGGGAGCAAATGCGTGCGCGAGAGGAATCGAAAGGTCATTCTTCCGCTACGCGTCGGCCGAAGCCATCGAGCTGATCACGGTTGACTCCCCGCGCAAAAGGACACCGCCCAAGAAGAATGAAGCAGTCGCTGAGATCGTCAACAACATGTCCGCTGACCTCGTGATTGATTTCACAGTGATCGTCGATGGTGATATCTACCCTGTAGAGATTACGAGAACCGACGAGACACAGGCCGCTGACAACGTCACGGACGATCCAGGGTTCTCAGTTGCTCCACCAATACCTGCGCAAGATGTGGATGTGGATGCGCAACCTGAAGAAGAGCAGGGTGCAGAAGGCCCTGATCCCAGACATGCAATTCGTGAAGGAGTTGTCACGCAGCTTCAGGACTATGTTGGCGTACTCGCTCAGGGCGAGATGTCAGTCGGAAGCGATCGCATCACATTTTGTGTTGCGTGTGGCAGTGACCTACACACTCTGTCAAATTGCACAGAGAATGCTGCAACCCGGGACCTGGTACTTCGAAGCGTCCAGATCATCAAGGAAAGTCTTCTTCGATATCCACGTCGAGTACCTTCACAAGAGGCTGAACCCATGGACGTTGACGCCACAGATCATGTGAGTGTTGCATCCTCGGACCGACGACCCAAGGCCAAGGCCCGACCGCGACGCGGAGGCGAAGCCGTTCGGGGTGATGTGGTCTTGATCCGCTATGAGAACAAACATAATCTCTGCACGGATGTGGAGAATCGTCGGGGCCTAAATGATGCTTGTGGCGTACCACTGCAGGATTCGGGACCAGAGAATAGCCAGCGAGTGGTGGACATCATTGAACAGCTTTCGGACCATCGCGACCGACGCCTACCCCAACGGGGAGACCGTCCTAGCTATGTGTACGACGAGAACACCAACAGCTACACCAATCCAGGCTATGAATCCATCGGCGGCGGAAGGCCAATCCGGTGCGGAATTCTCGACCTGATCCCAACCAAGGGTGCAAGCTTCATCAACAATCGGTGGGACATCGTGAATGAAGTTGTCCTTCGCAACATCACCCGTCAGCGCAGGTTAAATGCGGATTGGGCGCTATCTTGCATCCAGTCTGACTTGCGCCACAGAATCGCCAGGCGCCCAGGCTCGGAATGGCTTGACAACCGGTGCCAGGTGGCATTCAACAGTGTCATCAAATGTGATGAAGGAGGGTGGGTGCTGATCGAAGACTTGGTGAGGCATGAGCCACTATGGACCCATGAAAGCAGACGCATCACCGAAGGGGTCTCAAGGACCGATGACAACAGAAGAAGAGAGTGTACAATGAAAGACTTCAGCTATTGTTCCAGGGGAACATGATTGCAGCCACGAAACGCAACAAGGCCAAGATTCGGTTGCAGTTCCTGGGTGTGAGAGTGAAGGACCCCGGCACGGAAGTTCTTGGATCAGCAGGTTCGAACATGTTGGTATCAGTTCGGGACCAGATCGCAGAGATCCAGAGCAACGACCATTGCCGACATGGCCAGAGGTACCTGAACCAATGCAACGGCTGGGTGAAGCCATGGGCAGTCCGGGCTACGAGTGGTCACTCTGCGCATTCAGATCCCCAGAACAACTTGCTTCAGTTGGACAAGAACAGGTTTGCAATATCTCCATCTATGACCCTCTTGCAACGTCTTGGAGGTGCATTCCACGCTACGGCATGCCGCAACTTGGATTCCATTGTCACGCAAGGCATCATGCCTGGTTCGGAGGACCCCGACGGGGACTTTGACCATCGGCGCCAATTCCGAGGCAACCAAGGCGGCAGACTCCACAGCTATTGGGGGGTGTTTGCGCCGTTCGATCACCGGAACGCAACGACCAAGATGCGAGTACACGGACGAGACGCCAAGCATATGCCATTGGCGGTTCTTCATGTCCCATCGCAAGATCTTGCACGAGAAGATGGACGTATCACAGACAGCGGCATCATGATCGTTGGTCGAACGATACCTTTCCATTTCGTCAAGGAGGTATGGTTTTGCGTCCCTGATCCTCGAGATACACACTCTTTCGCTCTGGTGGAAAAGATCTACGATGAAAGGTTGGAGAAAGAGCTGGTGTTGGACTACAATGCATCACCGTTGCTTCCCGAGTTCGAGAGATACCGAACGCCAAGCAAGATCATGGAATTGCTTTGCGAGATGCCTCCTGGACCCCACGACACAAGCAAGGAGCAGATCATTCGTGACCTCACAACTGTCTTGGAGTCCCACAGGGAGAACACGGTTCGGCATCACTACATGGACAAGGGAATCAAGTTTGTCATCAAGAATTGGCGACCCGAAGACCTACGCAGAGACGAGGATGGAAGGAGAATGAGGGTATGCCCGGCATGCTACAACATTGTTCCAGCATGTTTCTCCCGATGCACGTCTTGCTGGTCACAGTTCATTTCAAGCGGATATTATCAAGGTTCTCCACAACGGGATACTCCTACGGAGATCCCCAGTGACTTCATTGCTCAGACAATGGAAGCCGCAGCAGCCGCAGTGCCTGAGGCGCCCGAAGAGGAGCAGGAAGCCATGGAGGTAGAGACCGTTGCGGAACCTGAAGAAATCCCAGAACCATCTGTCGTTGCGGAAGACGATCCAGAACAGGAACCTGATGAAGAAATGGACGTTGAGCCTGAAGAGGACTTCGATGACGCAGTTCCGGAAGCAATCGCACAGGAACGTCGTCCCGTCTTCCTTACCGGCCAGTCTTTGAACATCGATCCTGAACTACAACTTGCACGTACCGCCATGCAGCCATCCTACTATTCTGGAAAGCGAAATGCTCATTGCATCGATGCGAACATGACCGCTCTGTCGTACATGGCATACGTGGTATGCCGATCCATCTACAAAGCTTGGTCAGGATTCGCAAAGTGGGCGACTATGCCGTTGTTTCAGATGAGGGAAAGTTTCGCGCTTGGCCAACGCTATGATGTGCTTGGAAAGTGGGGATCTTTGGCAGCAGTGGACAAGGAAACAGGTGTCAGCAGGGATGTGACTGATGAGGAGATCATTCGCTTCGCGAAAGAACCTGAGAACCTCAAACAGTATGATCCCAACGGGATTTACACCTTGAAGCGCTTCCGCACGAACCAGATGCTTTCTTTACTTGTACGGGGAGCCAACATGATGGGAATTGGCAGGGACAACTTCAGCCCTACTACTTACTTGAAGAGCGACAGGGATGAAGATGTCAAGGCAATGCACTTTTGTTGCCTGAACGTCCTATGCGAGGTGATCCCAATGGTGACGGGACACCAACAATTCTCGGTGCTACGACCAACGCCAACTGGACCAGTGGACTTCTTGTACATCGACCCTGTCGGCATTCTGCTAACTCATTCTGATCAGTCAGTCCAGACCATCGCCTTGCTAGTGGATCACAGCATCCAAATGCCTGCGCACTTTATGGACAGATTGAACAGATCCAAGAGTGAGAGACAACAAAACCCGACGACAAGGCGTACAGAGGCCCTACACCACATTTCGGCCGCTGATTATCTTCCTCCAGGTGGTACTTCCATTCTGGACACGCCGGTCACTACGGAGGAACGTGAAAGCGCTTCTTCATCCAAGGGACCTTCAAAAGGGCGTGGAAGAACCGGAGGCGAGCAACATGGTGGCTGGAACACCAATTCCTACCACGACTACATCGCCGCCAAAGGCCGAAACAAAGGCAAGGACAAGGGAAAGCCAAGGAACCCATATCCAGAGGAGAACCTCCGGCCCTGGGAACGCGATCCTACGTCAACGCGAAGATGGTGGCGAGACAACGCCTGATCTTCCACGCCTATCAGTTCGTGACCTCTGAGCTTCGCCTGTGGAATGCCATCGCGAATGCTTCTTTCTTCGGTGACGCCTGATTCGTTTGTCATTTCAGGGGGTCGTTACTGACGTAGATGAGTGTCACAACGTTTCTAATTGGGATACAAAGCTCTGATTTTCAATGTCAACGTTGCGGCGGAATTTTCTTCTGTCCTATCGTGCCATCTTCCGGGTGAGCAGCGTCGGAGACGCAACTCATGGGGGGTGCGAACGGACTGCGATGCCTTGTCAAGTTCTAAGGTGTCACTATAAGAGCTGTGAGCAAGACCGTGTAAAGTGCAGAGAAGGGGGCACGCTACGCGTCCCTCGACTCTAGGGGGCATGCTACGCATCCCTCATCTTTACCTTTCTATGTGACCGCCAACGCAACGTTTGGCTCAAGTCAATGCCCGTAGCTAAGTGCTATATGTGTCTTCTATCCTGAGCAATCAGAGCTATCCCGTTGCACAGACGAACCGCCGCCGGCAGTGAGTGCAAAAGGAACGGCCGCCGGTTCTGCCTGCATAGGATCGCACGTGTGGGAGTACGAGAGAGAGAGACAGGGTCCAGTCTGTGGAGAGTGCTAGCCAGCCACACCTATATTCATTACAGCTCTGGTGGGGAGAGCAGCAACCAAGTCGAGATCAATCCCCCACGCACCTTATATGACCCCTAGTATAGACTGTTTCAGGCTGGGGCAGTACCCAACGTAAACCCAACCTCCCCTGCAATTTCACTGCCACGAAATTTCTAGAACTCCTATATAAACCCACAGCTCTGAAGGTATAGATATCATAAGAACAGCACGGTGGACTTCAGTATATTATAGCAGATTATATTGTTATGGTATGTTGCTAAACCCGAAACTCTAAACCCCAAACCCTAAAGGAGAACTCCAAAACGACTATGAGCTCCCATGGCCCGGACAGCTGAGGTCTCTGCCCTTCGTGGCAGATGCCGCACCGTCCTCGGGACGCTGGGCTCTTGCTAATTTAAGTTACCATAATAAGGATCTATAAGGGTTCCTTTAAGGGTTCTACAAGGGTTTAGGGGTTAAGGAGTTCTAGTTTAAGATATCATAATAGGGGTCTACAGTGAATAATATGGTTTCCATATTTTTGAATAATATGGTGTCCTGAGTTTTAATTTAAGATATCATAACAGGGATCTATAGTGACTATGGTAACTTATAAAGTTAATCCCTTTAACAAGAGCCCAGGACGTGCCTTGGTGGCTCCTGAAATCGGAGAGGCCTTGAAGGACAAGTTCCGACTGGCCACGGAGGAATGGTCTGACGAGGAGGGATGTTACATGTTCAGAAACAGAGAGGGTTTGGGTTTAGGGTTTAGGGGTTTGGGGTTTAGGGTTCAGGGTTTAGGGTTCAGAGAGAGCGTCTTGATAGATCCGATAGAGCCCTATGAAGCCCCGTGAAAATTACACGGGCCCCATTTTCGGGTTGAGGGGTTTTAACTTGGGCGTTTTTAGCATTTAGCACTGATGGGCTAGGCGTAAGGGTTTTTACGTTTTAGGTCATGTTTCGGGAGTCGGGGGTGGGGCTGCTTCCGGTCACGGGCGAAGTGTCGCGAGATGCTGGCAATACGGACGAGGGCTTCTGGTAGGACATATTGGTTCATGTTTCATGTTTACTTATACCTGTGACGGTTTTGCCTCGGTGTTCGGTCAGTCGAGTGCTGAACGACCGATGCCTCACCATGCCGGCGTCAGGATGCATCGACCTTGCGCTATGCATTCTACATCTTCCCGCTTGGCGATACCTACTCAGTGACGGAAGGCCGGAAGCAAGCTTTCGGTTGGGAGGTTGTGCAAGCAAGCGCAGGGACGATCACTCAACACTTTTACATGTGAAGATCCTCACGCCAGACTTCCAGCAGCCATCATGTTAACACCAAAGAGGTTTTGCCCAAGGGGTCAGAGTGGTCACGGCGGTGAATCGTCCTACCGAGCATGGCACGAGTGATCAACTTGATAAGAGCAAAAGCGGTGAGAGAAGAATCTTTGGCAACCACATGCATCAAAGGAGTCCGAATCACAAGACGACTACGATCAATAGGCATCACGACAATCACGCCGTTAATGGTCGGGCATCGTCGTCATCAATACCATCACCATCGTCACCATCACCATATTACCAGCAGCAGCATCCTCGCCTTCATCATCATCATCATCATCATCATCATCATCGTCATCGTCGCCGTCATCATCGCCACTATCACCATCAATGGCAACATCATCTTCTTCATCGACGTTGTCACCGTCCTCCTCGACACTATTAGCATGATTGTCATCGTTATCAATAGCGTCATCCGTTCTGCTCCTCCTCCTCCTCCTCCTCCTCCTCCTCCTTCTTCTCCTCCCAGCAAGAGGAACGTGTACCGTATGCTGTCATTTATAGTCCTATTCATAGTATTGTAGTGTCTCCAAGCCGCAGTACTCGTCACTCGTAGACACCAGTCTGGCAGAGGCTCAGATGGAAGCGGCTTGCAGTCAACACCTGCCTTTCAGAATCTTGGCAGCTAAAGTGCGGGCTCACCAGGACGAAGCTGTGTCGTTTCTGTCCCGGATCTAAGCCGCTGCGCTAAACTCTCAAAATACTTCGACCCACGTGATGATTGGGAGCAGAACCTACATATGTCGACAGCTCCAGGACGCCAGAGATTGAGTGGAATGATCCCTCGAGCGCACAGCACCTTGCCTGGTCCATTTTGCTATGTTTGCTCTTCGGTGTCGACATCGCTGAGTAAATTACCGTAAATTACCTACATCCACTAATTGGTGTTGGCTATCTTTTCGGGACCCAGCCCTTGCCACTACCACGATCGCAACCGCGACCTCCAGCAAGAAAGTACGGCCAGGGGGCTCGCTGGTGAAAGCAGTAGCAAGCAACCAAAGTCAGAGTCGTCACCAGAGTCGCCATCATCGCACGGTAATCTTCGTGTCGTCAAATCGGAGGTCCGAGGAGCTTGCCATCGTTTCCTTTTACAGGGTCGATAGGGGATACTATAAGGGATCTATAAGGGTACTATAATGATGGAGGAACCTGATTAAGAAACCTTTATTGGGGTTCTGATCTAAAATCTAAAGTCAGAGAAAAGTATCGTCTAGACTCTGTTGGGCTGTTCTGCCGCATTCCCACCGGTATACTTCTGGCCGCCAGTAGAATTCCTGAACCAGACACGGACAAGACAAGCAATGAATGCAGTGTCTTGGGGTGTTTCCACACTTGACCGTATCTCGATGAAGCAGCCCCATAGTTCAACCGAAACCCAACCCAAATCCTGAGCCCCAAACCCCAAACGCTGACCTGAATGCCCAGAGCGTCTCAGGCCTGGAAGTCCCCCAAACCCCACGCCATAATCCCTGCACCAGCTACATCCCACATTTATTTGTCTGTTCGCCCTGCATTTAGAGGATCATGGTTCTTGGCATCTGCACATGTACTTTCCTGTAACCCTAATTCAGGTACTTCTCACCATACGTACTCAGCCCCCTGATTCTAAAGGCAACCCTTTCATGTCCCCTACAAACAGTCTCTGAAACCCTATGAAATCTTGAGGTACTTCACGAAGCTCGGTGGATCCCTGGTTGGCATCTGGGGATCCTCCGCCAGTGTCTCCGGCTTGGATCTGGCAAGTGGAGTCTACTTCACAGTTGCACGTGCCGTGGCTGCAAACTGTTTAAGACTCAGGGCTACTAGAAGCGATGCTACAGGCGTCTCCTACACAGTTGTCCGTGCCAGTTTGCAGAAGAATTGCTAGGATCGGGGGCATCATAGGTTTTGGCATGTATCGGTAGAAGGGATTTGTTAAGACTGGCAATGTAGACCCTGTAAGGGCTACTCTGTTGGTTTCTGCAAAGGAAGCTAGAAGTGTATCTATAAGGGGTGCCACAAGGGTTCTATATGGTCTTTATGGCAGAGTATCTAAGTCGTTGATGGCAGCACCAAAAACCAAGACTGGGACCATGTAGAAGCTGGTACCATCCATACTACATCCGACAGAAATGGCAGCGACAACTTTCCGGTAACACTGCTATTCTGTAAACAGATGACGGTCGTATGATTGCCGGATTCTCAGTTGCATGGGTTCGATGACTGCCGTCTCAGAGTATTGCCGGCTGGATCTTGAACTGGAGGTCAGAGATTTGGTGGCATCAGTACTCGATGTGGCTTGAAGATGACGGTAAGCATGTAGTATCAGCTCCATTAGCATGGCTAATGATCGAAAGCCGATCTTGTCTCCTGCGGTGGCCAGCTGCGCTAGAGGTAAGCGTGGCCGAATTCCTCTTGCAGGAGCTTAGCACGGGGAGGCATTGGGAAGTGCATCAACCCTACCAGGACAGTGTTTTGGTTATATTACGGTTATAAGTTACTTGCGTTGCACTTACAGAAGTGGTTTCTAAGTGGATCGTAAGTGATGTATAAGTCCAACCTAAGTACAACAACGTTTTGCAAACTCCACTTTTTTCTGGCGGCTCTTGTTGTCTGCAAACGAGCTTTTCTAGAATAAACAGTCAATGTTGCTGCCTCGAACACGCCACCACGAAGGCAGTGTCAGCTTGTCAGAAGGTGAGACTCGGATGCACTTCTGGCCTGGTTCTTTGATGAAAACCGCCCCCCACGGTTTCTTGTGGAGCATCCGCAAAGGCGAAAGCAGCAACATGAACCCGTCGGCGTCTTGCAGACAGGCGTCTACGACTCCTTGTGTCCTTTCCAAGAACACCACATCCGTGACATGAATGGTTGCGGATTCCAGTGTCATGCCCTGTGAAGTTTTGCAGCCTGTTGCCGCGGCAACTTCCTGCACAGGCGGAAGCAGCAGGTTCAAGTCCAGTGTCGCCTTACGAACAATTCTATCGCATTGTTCTTGTATCATTCGAGGCAAAATGGCCGTGGCGATTTCGCAAGGTGTGTTGACCTTGTTTGCATGCGCGCTGGCCAGGCGATTCTTGTAGCATCTGTGCTTGCTCTCGTGCGTCTCCGTGTGGAGCCCACATTGCAAGTGCACCAAATGTGCAGGCAAATGCAGACGATGATGGTGCTTGGGCTTCGTTTCACCCGCACCATATGCCGCTACGAAGGCCAATGTGTGCGCATGCTGTGCTCGCTCCAGGTGGCTTTGCCAAGCCCGCGATGGTGGACCTACTAGGTAGTGGACATGGCGAAGAAGCCGGTGGCACTCCATTAAAGCGGCCCAGCTTGTCCGGGCTGGCAAAAGCAAAGCCCGGCTTTGAAGCAGCTCATGAACATAGAAGTCCAGCAGAGGCAGGAAGCTTTGAGTCTGCTGCGACTGGCCCTTGTACCCGTCGGAGCCAAGAAGGCAGTCCTGCCAGAGCCGCCTCAAATAGTTATGCTGGGCATGAGAAGTGCGTTTCGGCCCCGTCCAGTTCCCAGCACAGCAAGCTTCTCCCAGCTTCTTAAAGGACAAGTTGACCGTATCCAAAGCTTCTAGGAGAAGCCTTATCTCCCAATTCGCGCAGCCATTGGAGTAGTAACAATGCATCACGTCATTGCAGACCTTCGAAACGGGCAGGCAGGCAAGGGCTTTCTCATCGAAAAGAAGACCGCTTTCCGAATATTTGAAACCCAAGGCTTTTTCAAGCTCCTGCAAGCTCTTTTTTTTGCCGTGCACGGCTTCTCGGCGCAATGCAGCCACCGCGTCAGCGACATCGCTGTCTGTGACCAGGCAGAACTTGCGGATGTCGCCTTCGGCGCAAGTGTGGAAGCCCGCGGGGCCATCAGAACGCCGCCAAGCATTCGTGCAGAGGCTGCAGTAGCGATTGCCTGCACTGCCCTTGAACAGAAAGGTGGCTCGAATCGCATCGTTGTCTGCGAGAAGGTATGCCGAGGGCGCTAACTTGAACCTGCAGGTTTCGCCCGCGATGGAAAGCTCGAAGCCGTCCGAAAGCCTGAGAGGGGCAAACATCTGCAGCACAAGTGCCCGCATGTAGCTGCTCAAGTTGCCGCTGAGGCGCTCAAGCTGCTCGTGCAGTACGAGACCGACCGGTAGCCAGCTGTCTTCCCTTTTGAGCATGGCCGATCCCAGCTCACGAAAGCTCATGTAAAACAGAGCCGCTTTGAGCTCCTTAGAGGCTGACAAGACATTCCCTGCTGTAGCCTCATCGTTATAGAGAATGAGAGTGAGAATCCTATAAGGAAGACTTCCACTCTGGTTCTCAACTTTGAGGCCTCGCAGTGCCGCTGCAAAGGGAGGTGCTTCGTCACAGACGGCTTGCAGCAAGCATTGCATGTCAGCTATGAGAGCCTTCTCCGTGCCTTCACTGCCAGGCAGTTGGTGCTGCCGATAGCAACTTGTCACGAGCCGGCGGAGTCGCTTGGCCAATGTGGTGCCAGCGCTTTGCCCCAGCTGGCAATCGTCGTCTTGCAGTATGTTCCAGATCTGCCTGACGGCTTCTTCTGAAGCATTTGGGACTGCAAGACAACGCCGATACGTTTGCTCATCCTCTTCTCGGACACGTTTTTGGCGAGGCATGTTTCACGTGGACTATATAAGTGTAGGTGTATGTAAGTTTCAAGGTTTAGACATGCCCTTATAAAGCCTAAGCCCTAAACCTTCAAAAAATATAAGTTTCAGGGCTTAGACAGACCCTAAACCGTAAACCTTAGTGTTAAGGGTTCAATCAAGGGCTTAGAAGTGTTTCAAGGGCAAGTCTAGACATCGACACTCTGAGCCGAAGAAAGCAAGCAAGCATTTGCTCATGGCAAACTTCCATGTTCGGCCACAAGCAGAACCTCATTTCTTTTCTTGCATACAAGGTCCTTTCATAGAATCTTATATCAAACCAGTGCAGCAGACAGTTGCTGGATCATCTGCTTGCACTCCCAAAGCACCATCCCGACATATGTCGGCGTGCACGTCAAACGTGGGTAGCGCTCGCCTATGTCTTCCAGCAGCACGCATGCCCACACAGCAGCTTTCTCCTGGTCGTCCGACAAGCCCCCCCGGGTTGCCCGTTGAAGCGTCTGCTGTAGCTCCTGCTTGAGGGCGTCAAGTCCCGCTTGAAACTTGGGCAGCTGCAGTGGTTTCTTGGCTGCTGGCGTCACGTGTCTGTCGCAAGTGTTGCTGAGCTGCAGGGGTTTCTGCAGGGCTGCAAGCTTCACGTCCTGGCTGCAACTGTTGGTCACAGCAGCAGTTGCACAGTCCAGTGCCTGGACTTCATGGCTGGAGGTGTTGCTGAGCTGCAGGGGTTTCTGCAGGGCTGCAAGCTTCACGTCGTGGTTGCAACTGTTGGTCACAGCAGCAGTTGCAGAGTCCAGTGCCTGGTCTTCCTGGCTCGAGCTCAGCAACGTTGCAGGTGTTGCAGGAGCTCGCAAGCAGCGCTGCTTAGAGAAGACTTCCTGGAGAGTCGGCTGGCCGGGGCGCTTGTGGCTCATGGCTCTATATATGTACGAAGAGAATATCTACATACAGACCTTGCTGGAGCCGATATGTTTTGGGTTGAGGGTTTCTCACAGTCCATATGCTCACCGGAGGCTGGCTGCAGAAACCCTGCAACGAGAAGGATGGTTTTTCTCGCCTCGCAGCAACTTCTCCTTAAGTCGATCCCTGCCGGTGAGACTGCAGGAACTCGTGTGTGACCCCCTAACAACAAAGTTTCCTGAGAAGTTTACGGAAGATAGGCATGCAATGAGATTCACACGCAGTATCCGGAAGTCTCAAACAAGGTTTCCCAGAAGTTGGACTTGGAACAAAGAAGGCAGGAGGAGAAACCTACCAAACTACAGATATATGCAAGATACACGCCATCATGGTGACATGGCGGCATCTTTGAGGGAAAAGCCCCAAGGCTGGCCTCACGGGGCTTTGCGGCGACGTCTCTTGTTGGTCTCGTCACCTTTGGCCGTCGCAGCTGCAGCTTTGGGCTCTGGCTTCTCGCGCTTTGGGAGTTCGAGCCGCAGGGCCTTGACAGCTTTCAGCTTCTCCTTGAGCTGTGCGTCGTCGAACGGCAACTCAGGAAGGGGCGGCTGGACCTCTTGCGCAGAGACGGCGGCGAACTGTAGTGTCACGGCTTGACACTGCTTCTTCCAGTCGCCTAGCTGAACAAGGGCCTCGTCGATACCCTCCTTCAGTCCCTCCGGCAGGTCCTTGCGAGCGGCGGCAGTCTTTTGCAGCTTCTCCAAACCAAGCGTCGCAGAGGTTAAGTCCGCAAGGGCCTTCTGCGCCTTGAGGTTTAGCTTGGAGTTCTGGCGGCAGACTTTGGCGCTTGCTGCCTTGGAGACTGGCTTGTCGCCGCTAGCCTTCTCGCCACCCTTCCTGCCGCCGCCCTTGCCAGAGCCCTTGACGGCAGGTGCTGCTTCTCCGAGGGACCAGTCCTCCGCAGCTTCGGCTTCGGCAGCCTCGGCATTCTGAGTCTTCAAGGCCTTGGATGCCTTGGCTTTGCTGACGTCTTCTTCCTTTCGCAGGATTGTCTGTTCCACGTCCCTGCGCAAGACACGGAAGCTCTCCTGCTCCACCGGCACCTGGTACACGAGGCCTAGCTTCGGGTCCTCCTTGGACTCGCAGTTTTTAACGGTTTCTGGCAAGAAGCCTCGCGTGACCCAGACGCTTTCGGGCAACCACTCCCCGACACAGCCCGCAGACCACTCCTTGGTCACAGAGCTGACCAGCTCTGTCACTAGGGCCGTGCGCACCACTGCCCACTTAGCGCGGCCGTGGTTGTCGTTCTTGTCCGTGGAGCTGCGAAAGAACTCAGCCTGTCTCTCCGGAGACAGGCGGTGCAGGTCTGTCAAGTCCCCAAGCTTCCGTTGAAGCATGGTCTGGAGACTTTCGCAGCGACGGCAAAGCCACGAAGGACCGTGCTGGCGGCAGCTGGCTGCGGGCTGCTGGGTTTTGCAGAGCCGACAGAAAACGCTTACTGGCGGAGACACGAGGGCCATGGCGAGCCAAGGCGGAAGCAGCAGGGCTACAGCAAGAACAGAGCTCGAGCCAGACTTCAGCAGAAAAGCACACTGACGGTGAACGACCAAGGTGGAAGCACAAGCAGCAAGACAGTTGAGTCTGCAGGCAAACAGGTCTGCACCAGGACCACATTTTGTTTTAATCCTACGCAGCACGCATCGGTGAAAACGACGCATAGGCGGAACTGCGCGCGGACATGCGCGGACACTACGCGGACACCGCGCGGACAAGCCCATTCCTATCCTGGGAAGATATGCCGTACATCTGGCATGTCTACGCGGACATTGCGCTGACATCCAAAACCTTTAGCCGGACACCTTTCGCGGCCGGGCCCCGCGGACATTGGCAACCCCAGGTTTTGGAGACCCAGCGGTCAGCAGCTGTCTTTTCGGGCTTGGCCGATCCCAGCTGAGCTGGAGAAGAGCAGTGCAGGCTTCTTCACTGCAGGTCTGAGGATTTGAGGCTTTGGGTTAAAGGTTTATACGGCTTGAGGCTTGGGTGCGAGCTTGAAGCTTTTGTTCCTGGGCTTAAAGCTTCATGGTGCGATACAGCTTCTTTCCTCTATAGGCTTGCAGTGCAGCTTCAGCTCACCCAGCCCTCGCAGGGATCGCAGCCTGCTCTTCGCTGGACTCGCTAGGTTCTATGCCGAACACAAACCAGCGAAGATCCTCGCGTAGCCACCAGTGCACAGCCTGCAGAGCAACTCTGTCGCCTGGTGTCAGGAACTGCCACAGAACCTCGGCCGCTCCCGGCTCGCTTGCAACGAGGAAGAGATGCTGGTCATAGCGTTCCCTTGTGTCCTCCATGGCTTGAGACAAGTTTGAGCCCGAAGAGGAAGCTGCAAAAAAAACGAGCCACGAACACAACAGGAGTTCAAGATAGCATTTATCCTGTCTGCTCTTCCCATGCAACCCCCTTCCAGGGAAAGTTTATGTACGGGTCTATAGAACTGAAGAGGTTTAAGGGTTTAAGGGTGTGGGGTTTAGTCGGCTCTTCAGGGCAACCGAGGGTGTCAATGAGGTTTAGGAGTTTAGAGGGTTACGGCCTGGAGCGGGGCAGAAGCTTCGAGGTCGCACGTTTTTTTCTGCCAGCTCACAGCAGCAGTGCAAAAGTGCAAGCTACATCTACCATTGCTGCAGCTTGGCCGGCGTTCAGGGAAAAGCCTGGTTTAAGTGTGTATGGTTGTATACAAGGGCCCAAGGGAAGAGGTTGCTACCACCATAAAGGTTTAGGCTTTAGGGTTTAGGGTTTCTAAAGGGTTTCGGGTTTAAGGTTTAGGTTTGTTTGGGTTTAGGGCTTAGAAAGGGTTTAGTGTTTTGGGTTTAGGTTTTTGGTCTCTATATAGAAAGGATCAAGCCAGCACGGCCACACAAAGGATCAAAGAGGCACGGCCGCCTCAGCGAACATTGACAATGACCGTGCCGCGGCGTCCACGGTGGCGCCGCTCAGGAGTGCTGGAGCTCGTGCTGCGGCGCCTGCGTCTGCGCAGTGGGCTGGGGCTTGGCTCCACACCACACTCCGAGGACTCCTCACGTCGTTTGCGCTCGCGCCTCGGGCCCGGCTTTTTCCGGGCCTTCGAAGCCTTATGCCCGGCCCGCAGGCCGCGCTTGGCGGGGCGGCCTGCCGCAGCAGACTTCTTCCCAGCACGCTTCGAGGCCTTGGCTGCCTGACGGCCAAGCTTAGCCCACCTGGGAACCAAGTCGGCCTTGGAGCCCTGGGCTTTGCTGGAGCGCGCCTCGTCTCCATGCTCCCTTGACCACCTGTCCTGCCGCTGCTGCCACATTTGCTCCGCCGCCTGTTGGGCCTGAGCCCAGTTCTTGGTCTTCTGGGCTGCATAGCACTGCATGGCCAAGCATTTTTTCGACCAAAGGCCATGCTGCTCGTAGCCACTTCTGTTGTTGAAGCGCTGGCCGCAGTGCTGGCAGCTAAAGACCTCGGCCTCTGCAGCCTTGGTCTTGCGGGCAGTCGAGGGCAGGCCCTCAGGCTCAGCTGGCTTGCGCAGGTCTGGTGCTGCAGAGGCTTCCGACCGGACGGGCGGGTCCTGCTCGCAGCTTTCCTCCTCCTCCTCCTCCTCGCAGGAAGAGGAAGAGGGCACCAGCTTTGCAGGTGGCAACTTCTTGGTCGAGCCCCGGTCTTTGGCTGCAACCTCCTGGGAGGCTCTTTTCTTTTCACATTCTTTTTTTTCTTTCTCCTTGGAGCCTTTCCTCTCCCTGTGGTGCCGGTCTCGGCTTCTTCCCCTGTGCTTCTCCTTGTCCTCCGCTTTCTTGTCGTCCTTCTCGGTCGCCATAACCTGTGGCAGGTTATTTGTATGGATATGTGCACATTCTATGTTTTATAGTATACTTGAAAAGATAAAGAGCAATAATAACTAATAACAACAAAAACAACAAGACTAGTACTAGCACAACTACTATAGTAACGCTATTGTTGTTATTATAAGGAGAAGAACAATCGTGGTAATATACAAAAAACATTATATAGGAGAGCAGCAGGCAAGCAAGGACATCGAGGTGTATAAAAAATGATAGACAAGTTCAAGCAGCAACAATAGCAGCAGCAACAACAACAACAAGAAGAAGATAAGAACAACAAGAATAGCAATAAGAAGAAGTAGCACATACGCACTATATGCGATAAAGGAAAGAAGACAGAAAGGTATAGCAAACTATATATATATATATATATATATACATATGAGAAGAATAGAAAAAGATTGCTGTCATAACAATCTTTTGTTTATCATGACCCTGCTCCGGCAGCCACAGAGGCTCTGTATCATGGGCGGTGGCCGGTAGGCCAACGCACCCAGCACCACTCACGCTGCCCATGACGGCAGCCACACAGGCTCTGTATCATGGGCGGTGGCCGGTAGGCCAACACACCCAGTACCACTCACGCTGCCAAGCCCCGCAGGCTCTGAATGCACTGGGGCTCCTACACAGCCACGCAGGCTGCTGAGCCCCGCAGGCTCTGGATGCCCATGAGCCACGCAGGCTCCTGCAGCCACGCAGGCTGCTGAGCCCCGCAGGCTCTGAAAGCCACGCGGGCTGCTGAGCCCTGCAGGCTCTGAAAGCCACGCAGGCTGCTGAGCCACGCAGGCTCTGGAAGCCACGCAGGCTGCTGAGCCCCACAAGCTCGGTAAGCCACGCAGGCTGCTGAGCCACGCAGGCTCTGGATGCCGATGAGCCATCCAGGCTCCTGCAGCACCTGAAGCTGCTGAGCGTCTTCGCGCTCACGAGCCACGCAGGCTCCTGCAGCCACGCAGGCTGCAGAACAAACGAAAAAATAATTAAATACAGGAATATATAAACAAAGACATAGATAAATACATAAAGAAATAAAGTGTAAATAATTGTACTGAGAAACGTGCCTGGGCGACAGCTTCGGCGCCGCTCAGGGCTTTCGAGCAAAAAGGAGCTGCAGGAGAAAGTCGCATGTAGGATGAAGGAAAGCAGCAGAAGCAGGTCTGCTCTCGCATGCAAGCACAAACGTTTGGACCGACCTTTTTCTCAAAAGCAAAACTAGGAGGTTCCGTGATTGTTGTCGCCATGTGTGACATCTGCCGGAAGCCTGGGTATAAACAACCCGTCACAGAGAAGCCTTAGGCATCAAACTCCTGGGCTGCCACTCGCATGGCTTTGCGTGCAGCCTCTTTGGATTTCTCGGTATTCCCCGCAGTCTTGTGCATGGCAGCATGGAAAGCCTTGTGATAGGCACGAGACAGCACGCATTTGCGCGTCTGCGACAGCACATGGCCACCCGAACTTGCCGACTTCAAAGCTGCAGGGGCGGCCTGGGGCCTCTTCTTCGTTGCACTGCCAAGTTGGGAACCTGCAGGACGCTTTTTCGGTGCAGGAACCGCAGCAGCTGGTTTCTGGCGAAGGCCTTTCTTGGTTTGGCCCTTCTTCTTGCTTTCCGAACAGTGTCCTGACACCTGCCCTTGGGCAGACTGAGCAGGTGAAGGCTTGCCCTTCTGAGACGCCTTGCCTTGAGCGTCTACAAGCTGGTGAGCTCGTTGCAACAGTGAAGGCTGGGCAGCTTCTTGTTCTTCTTCTGTAGCTTGGGGCAAACCTGCCCTCAAGAAGTCTTCTGCAGCCTCGCCCCGGGGGGCGTCCTCCAGTGCCGGAAAAGCAGCAGCGCCTGGGCCTGCAGACTCGGGTGCAGGCAAAGCCAACGGGGCAGGCGTTTGCAAGTGTACCGCAGGCACAGCACCTGCCGCCGAAGAAGACCAACCCGAAACCTTGGGAACTGCAGGCAGCTGCCCCAACTGCATGATGCCACCCAACAGAGCAGAGCCCAGCCCCATCAACTGGGGAACAGCCGCTTCTTTCGCTGCCCCCGTCACTGCTTGCACTTCAGTATGCGTTTTTCGCAGTGGCACACGCTGCACCAAGGCCATGATGCCATTCACATGCATTTGCGGCACTGCATGTGCACCTTGTGGCAAAAGAGCTTGCTGAAGCCCGGCTGGAAGCTGGCCTGGGTTCTGGGGCAGGTGCACCATGAACGGATTCGGGTCTGCCGCTCCGCGCACGAGTCTTCGAAAGGCTGTCTTTGTGCTCTCCAGCGCAGAATGCAGCTGAAAGCTGTTCACGAACTGCCCGGTACCGCGATATTGTTCCATGGCTGTAAGCAAAGCCATGGTTCGCTCTGAGGGGCACCGCAGACCCAAGCCGACAGCAAATTCCAAGATCGCGGTGCGCCGCTCCTCTTGCTGGCAATTTGGCGAGGAAAGCAGCGAATACAGATCCTCAGGAATAAAGTTCAAGATGCCTGTGAAATCTTGAGTCGGCCGTCTAGGCTGCGCGGCCATTGCTGCACACAAGGTATATACAAGGAAACTATACCTGCGTCCCTGCCGAGCATACAAAAACTGCGAGCTCTGCAATCTAAACCCTATATAGCCTATAGCCCTAAATATAGAAGCCAGTCTGCGTATATATATATATATAATCAATTCATGTAAATTCTCTAAAACATAAGTCCAACATAAGTCCAACACAAGTCCGACCTATGTCCAACACGCAAAATGCACAACTAGGATATATGTCCAACCCAAGTGCTACAAAAACAGACCCACTTATAACTTAGTTATAACCCACTTACCTCACTTATAACTTATTCATACCCCAGCTATAACCTAACCATAACCAAAACACTGTCCTGGTATGAGGCATAGGCACCGAACTCTCCTGACTAATCCGGCACAACATGACACCTTCTCAGCCTGACGCTTGGGACTGTCTCCAGGCTAGTGTTGTGTCCTAGACCCAGCGCGAACACTTAAACCCTGAAGCCTTGCCTGAACCATCATGGTGATGATGATCCCCATTGTTGATATGGTCACCTTAATCGCCATCACTCTGTTGCCAAAATATGAACCCCAAGGTGCCCGGGACCATCTCGGCGGCACGGCCGCAGCAGCCGTGCTCGGGCCGTGGGTGAGGCAGCCGGAGACACTCTCCACAGCCGACCTGACCAATGCACTGGCTGCCCAGATGCAAGAGCAAGGGAACAGACCAAGATCTTTGGATACGGTGCTGCTAAAACTCGTAGCATCGTAGGATCTTCGAGAGGAGATGGATCTAAAATCAGTTTTTGGGATGCCTGTCGGCTCCAATGACGAAAGCGAGCCTATGCCTCCATGAACAATCTCAGTTTGTTGAAGGCGCTGGCCGAGCTGGGGCATGTTCTATAGGACTGAATGATAGACTGATTGGGGAAAGTTGCAGATCAGGATTGTGAATTGTGTTGGAGATAATAGGGCTGTATGATGGGGCTTCGGAAACCCTAAGCGGATTGGGGACCTCGGGCCCTCTGCGCCAGTTGCTTGCGGTCGATGTTCGGGCTGGCAGCATACAAGTATGGCTTTGCACACAGGCGCCGGAACTGGGACGTGAAAGGGGTCAGGACCGAGTGTGTCCGATCTCTTGCCCAGCCCGCCGATTCCCCAAGGAACACGGCTCGACACCCCAAAGCCTACATCGCAGACTGAAGTAAGAACAACACTGCCTTGCTCAGGTGGCAGTGCAGCAGTCGAGCGACCCAACCAAGATTCTATCGTCGCTCAATGCCGTTACAGAGATGTCAGGCCAGCCGAAAGCGCTTGCAGCCTCTAAGTTTCAGATCTTTCTCGGTGCTCTGAAGTGGAGGTTGACATGTATCAGAAGTTGTGCGGTTCTTCTGCTCATTACCTGATTTCTGCTTATATCTCTGTGAAATTTCCCTGTCTTGAAGGGCCGTGTTGACTTGTCCTCATGCGAGCGTAGTTTTTCATGTTCAGTTCTGAATGCACCCTGTACGACAGACGTCTTGGGCTCAGACCAAAAAGTGCGCTCGTAGTGTGGTTGGACACTCACTAATCCAGTTCCTGCTTCAAACTGGTAGCGGAGCTGTGAGGACAACCACTAGTGTTTCACCCCCGTAGAGCCTGTGGTCCGGGGTCCGTTGGGTAGAGTAGTGATAGTCGCGGCGCAAAGGCCCCTTCTATCTGAAGCCATGAGCGTGGCAGGTTTGCGTTACCAGCCCAATCTCTGGTCACAGAACCTGAGCCCTGCAGAAACGAAAAGCGGTTCGTACATATACGACGGTACGGCTGCTGGCTTCCACGATTGGTGCTTCCGGACACAGATCCGCGTGCTGCAACATAAGGAGAAGCAGCGGCGTGAAGCTCTTAAGGACCTGCGATTTGCCGAGTCGGCAAGGGCCAAGAGCGAGTCACCAAGGAAGTGGCGTGGCAGGGCAAGTCAGGGGACCAGTGCATCGCCCACAGATGGTGATGGAAGCAGCGGTATACCCGCCAGTCCGTCCAGCGCAAAACGGACTAAGCCCGCGTCCGAGGCAGAAGATGAGGATGCGGAGTCATTGCCGTCGCACCCCAGCCAAGTGGCGGGCGACGATGAGCAAGAGCCGGACACAGATCCGGCGGTGTACACCTTGCAAGACATTAAGGACGAGTCGCTTGATATGAGCGAATGCGTTAGCAAGATCTTGGAGGGTCTCCGAGGAGACGCCTTTTGCATTGCTCGCGACGTCGGCCTGGAACGTCTGCTTCGCCATGATGGCGTCGACTACCTGATAGAAGAAATCAGGAGGCAAGCTTTCCCTCTTCAATCTGAAGAGGCGTCCGAACTTTTCCGTCAGGGACAGCTCCTGACGGGCCCACTTGCAAAGCAACCCGGCGAGCCTATGTTGTCTTACATAGCCCGCCGAAAGCGGTGGTGGTCGACCTTGCGTGAGCTAGATCCTGATATCCGCCTTTCTGAAGCAATGAGGGCTAATCTCCTTGTTGAGCTTTCAGGGTTGGAAAGGAACGAACAGCTAATGGTCAAGACCGCCGCCCGCGTACACACCGTGGATGAGTACGCACGCGTCCTTGTTCAGCATCACTCAGTGGTGCACATGAAGGAACGTCTTCTTACCCAGAAGGACCCTAGTGGCCCAGGTAAGACCTGGAGACGTTTCGACGCTAAGCCACAATACCCTAAGTTTGGCTACATGGGGTATGATGGTAGTGCCGCAGAGTATGGTCACCAGGAACAACAGGAATCCGCGGAAGGCTACGGTGACGGCTACGGCGAAGAAGCATACCAGGCCACAGCGTCTGGGGGAGATGATGCGGATGAATGGATTGATGATGAAGACCTAGCATTGCAACTCAACGCCTATACGGCAGTGGCATATGAAGCTGAGATTGACGATTTGGATGATTCCTATGCCGAGTCAGTTCAGCTTGCGTACGCGGCACAGACCGCCTTTGCCCAGGCGAAAGGAAAAGGAAAAGGGAAGAACAAGGGCAAGTCCTCCGGAAAATCCGGAGGGAAGGTCGTGCGTAGCAATTTGACTATTGCTGATCGTAAGGCCAAGTTGGCAGAGCTTAAGGCAAAGAGTAGGTGCCTGAAGTGCGGTGTGATCGGCCATTGGGCCGGAGATGCTGCCTGCAAGTTTAGCGGTAAGGGCAATGGCCCCAAGGGCACCACAACCCCAGCACAGTCTGGGGGAACTGCCAACGCAGCCGCAAAGCCGGCGGCGCCGAAGCCCCAGGCGTATTTCGCCGCAGTGGAGGAGGATGACACAGAGTGTGTCCATTTGTCGAATGCGAGCGCTGGTAGGCTCGAGGGTTACCCAGCCAACCTTGAGCTGACTCCCTCAAAGACCAATACCGGCAAAGGCCGCGGCAATGAAACCCTCTTCTCACCGCAGCTTCGGCGCACAGCCGCCGCTAGGATCATGCGTGACAGCCCGCCTGAGGGTTCCGATCGCGTTTTCTCCTTTGGTCAGCATAAGGGTCTGACTTATGAGCGTGTCTTGTATACGTTTCCTGGATATGTTCTTTGGGGACGCACGCAGAAGTGCCCATCCATAAATTTGGCCGATTTCTTGGATTGGGTCACGGAGTACTTCGATGTGCGTGATGATAACCCCATTAGCATCACGAGAAGGGATGTTCCCCTCAGCCAGGAACCCCCGCCTGAACCCTTTCAGCCCGAGGTTCGCCTCGCCGCGTCAGCTGCTTCGTCCAGCGAAGGCCCCCGGAAATGCCGGGGAGGTTGCAAGGAGTTCAACAAGTCGGGGAGTAACGCATACATAGACATGCGGACCTGTAAGAAATGCGGCACCGTCACCAAGACGAAGAAAGAGAAGCCTGTCATAGACCAGGCCACATGCCCCCACACCTCCACCGAGAGGTCGGGTAGCAGTAGGAAGACCTCCCGCATTAAGTGCAAGCTTTGTGGGATGCTTCTAGATGAGCAGCCGCAGACCGAGCGAAAGGCTAGGGATGACGCAGCCACAGTGCTGCGGGAGTCCAACACCCTGGACTTCGATCTTCTGCGCAGCATAGTCGGCAGCACGGGGGATAGCCTCCCCGTAGAGGTAGTAGTTCCGGCTATTGCCCAGTTTCAAGAGACCATAGAGGGTCATTTCGTAACCGAGCCCGTGATATCTCGCGGTGACCTTCTCGCATACCTGCAAGAGGCCTTAGATGATCACTCTGCGCCATCGACCAACAACAGTTGGGAAGTGGCGTCGGCGAGATCGCGCTCTTCGAGGGCCTCCGCGACGAGGCACGCCTTCGTGGCTTTCACTGAGGGGGTCACAGATATCCATCCGGCTTTGGTTGATTTGCCCGTAGTAAATATCTACGAGGATAAGCACGTATACGCCGTGTTGGATGAGGGCTGTAACTCGACTGTTCACGGTAGCGATTGGATAGCAAACGCGGCGGGGAAACTTGCGAACTTCGGTTACAGCACGAGGTTTAAACCTGAGGGCAATCGTACCTTCAAGGGTCTTAGCGGTGCTACCGAAACCCTGGGTAGCAGGACCATACCTTTCTCTATAATGGGATTGGAGCAGGACTTGAGAGTTCCGGGCGTCCTTGATTCTCATGAGATTAAGGGTACAGCCCCTCTCCTTTTGTCCCTTTACGCCCAGGCCCAACTTGGTATAACCAAGGATCTTCGGTTCGGTGAGTGTGGTGTTCGACTTCCTTCTGAGGATAGCATCATTAGGATCAAGCTGTGTCGGACACATGACTCAGGGCTGTTATGCATAAACATAACAGAAGGTTTGATTCAGGTGAAACAACCCCGTCTCATAAGGAGCTTCCAAATCCCCTCACCGCCAGTTCCTATATTTAGGTCTGCCGCCGCCGCCGCCTTAGCTCACTCAGAGTCTGTGAGCACACCCCGAGATGCAACAGCGGCAGATGACGCAGTGGCAACAAGTCGCAGTCACAGTACTGTAGATGCAGGCCATGGTCATAGCACTGTAGGCGTAGGCCACGGTCACAGCTTCACAACGACAGCTGAGAATCGCAACAACACTAAGCGACGTATAAGCGTAGCGTTCCCGAATCATTGCATGGTAGGCACGTCCGTAGGAGACACGGAGCCCGCCGCGATGGCCGCAGAGGAGGGGCAGCTGCCTAAGAAGGCGCCCCCGACGGCAAAGGCTGCACCGAAGATTTCAGCAGCGCCGGAGCCTGGCCACAGTGCCATGGCGACCTCGCCTGCGGTCGGCCACAGTGCCGCACCGGTGATCACTCCCGCTTTCCCTGCGCATGCGCCCAAGGCACCGCCTGGAGGAAGCGGCTTGCCAAAGAAGGCGCCTCCCATAGAGAAGGCTAGGCCTGGGGATAGCCCAGGGATACCGCCAGCAGCCCGTGCCACAGTGCATCCGAAGGAGATTGCACGAGGGCACCGTGAGCTGGCCGAGTTCGATGCGGTTGTGAAGAAGGACCCGCACAATAGGCCCCTGGTTATAATGGCAGGTGGAGGACCCCATGGTCCGGAGCTCGACACTCCTCTCCCAGCATCCGTGTATAATCCGGATTTGGCCTTGCTGCCGTACTATGCGGGGGACACAGCGAACCCGGACATCATTATTGATGTTTTTACCTGGGGCTATGAGCACCATGCCTGGCTGCAACGCGTCAGAGGGAAGTGGACGGCGGCCGAGCTCTTCGCACAGCACGAAGAGATGGAAACGCATGCGATCACGACGTATGCAAGTGCCACTAGCTATATGCTAGTGATGTTGGACATGGTGTGGCTTAAGGACGATCGGAAAGACGATCTGACGCCTGCAGAAGCCCAACAGCGCAACGACGAACAGCGCGACCGCACAAAGCATGTTGGGTCGAACCCCGATATAATTCGGGAGCACGCAGACCATCCCAACTTGATCGCCCACGTCAGGCATATCGTGGCGAACGTCCTTGACGCTAAGGACGCTGGGATTCGGTCCATTGCCGTGCATGTGGTTTGCAAAGCCAACAGACATAGATCTGTTGCGGCGGGCATCCTTGCCCATGCAACGCTTTTGGAGCTCGTGCCAGACTGCTCCGTCAGCCTCACTCACATGAGTGCAGCGAACAGCTGGCCTTTCATGGGCAGCAAAGCGTGCAAAGGACAGTGTCCCAAGTGTTTGCACCGCGCCCCTGGCATAGCCCAGGAGGTCGAGGAGCTTACGAGGTGCTTCGTCGACGCTGTCCGCACAGACGGACCAGAGGATAATGAGTGCATCCTTGTCGTGGAGCCGCAGTGTGCACGCCCCGATGATCAGCCTACATATGCTGAGCGGTTTCAT